GTCAAAGTGAACCCATACAGCGAATCTGTTCATGTGGTCGCATCCGTCTTAAAGGTAGGGAAGGTTCTAGCAGTATCTACACACGAGTAACTGAAGCTATGACTGGAGTCCTTCATCAAGACTGCTCAAGAACAATAATGGGCATAATAGATTAAGAACCTGACAAGCTGAAAAACGCTTAACAAAATCAAAATTTAAGGAAGCGACTTTAGGAGTTAAAAGCCCCATGTGTTAGAAATACTTTCTGTTTTCACTACACACCGTCCTCCCCACCTTCACTCCTAAAGACTCCATGCAAAATACTAATACTGAAATGACTATTAGTCATGATAATAAATTTCAAAATACACACCGATACATACACAGTTTACCCATGAAAACATCCTCACCACCCTCCTAATGAAGGCAAACTTTCCAAAAGAAATACAACAGGGAAAGAATTTAATCCATCCACCTTGGCACTTATGAACAGCTCTGAACAACCCTATGTTAACATAGTAATTACTACAGTCATAAGAATGTCAGTCGCATATGGTCTTCCCTTGTCCCCCGTTAATGTTCGAAGATGTGATCAATAGCAAGGTCCAGAAATGACTTAGGTAACCACTCCTACACTGGGGCCATAGTGATATCCAGTAGTAATATACATACAGGCATCAGGAGACAGGAGAAGAATGATGCTACACTAGGTAGCAAGATGAGTGTTGCCCTCTGTAAGGTGCACACATGGAATCGATTTTCTAGCAAGAGTTAGGAGGTTCTTTCCTGATTCCATGTTATAAGCACTGACTAGGGAGAGGGTGAGCACTTGTGGGGAGAGTGCTTAGACATTTCTAAAGTTTTCTCTTCCTGAAGTTGACGGATCTTGGTGGAGAATCAGACTCTGCAACCTTGGCCTTGATAATATCACGGCAAACTAACTGGACAATTGTCCTAAACTAGAAATGAATCTATCCTCAGGACCACAGTGAGTCTGCCATTAGACTCTCGACTTTTAGACAGTTAAGAAAAGGAAGAATGAAGCAATTGTGCGAGTAGCTTTCTTCCAGGGAGCACGCATACCCCGAGTGAGAAGACCTAGTTCTTTCCTAATATGTGTGCAAGAGCCCACCTGTTTGTGTTTTGATTGTTTCAGGCCTTTTCTTGCTAGAGTTAAGAGCTAGCACCTTGTCTAAAACAAGCAACATGGGTATGTGTATTTCTGTCCAGGAAGCTAATAGGATTTAGGATGGTCTATAGCCAGACCCTGTCAGTTTGTGGTACTTTGCAAAAAAAAAAGCACTCACACAAAATAAGTTCCAGATGATAGAAGGGAGCTTTATCTTCATTTCCACCACAGGCTAAGCTCTGCTTTTATGCCTCTAAGTTTTAGCGGGAGAAAATCCAAGCACCTGCTCCTGCATGTGCAAGTCAATGGAGAGTCAGAGCCGAAATCTGCGTGGGTCCCAGTTTGGGTATCTGTGAAGGAAGTGGGGGCTGAACTGAATTTTTTAACTACATATTTTCTCTGGAATATTTCCAATACATAGTTTCTATAGTTTATATTTATGTATATATATATATATATATTTTTTTTTTATCTCCCTAAGGATTTTCTTAGAAATATCCACGGAAGTATATTTTTATCTGACCTCTATGACAAATGGCTCGGTGTTATTGATCAAGGCAACAAAGAGGAGAAGATAACTGCAGCCCAGAGGTAATGATGCCATAATTACTCTACTCTGGTCACATCTCCAAAATACACCCAACATACTATTAGGAAAACATTGGCTTACGTTTTGCAGCTTTGCCCACTATAATCATGACCAACGCCAAAGAATTTCAATTCTTCACACCCATGGGGCCCAACTTCAGAATAGAGGCACGCTTTAGGGCTATTATTGTTCTTCTCCTGATCTTATTAATCTGGACTCCTTGGCCATTTGACACCTTCTGGATCCTTGAAACTGGTAGACAAAATTCCCTGGTTCAAGACACATGCAAGAGCATCAACTGCCAGGGCTATGACCTTAAAAGTCTGTCAAACATTTAACTAACCAGAGAAGTGTTTATCTGGCTCAGGGACTGAATTCAGTGAAACAATTTTGTCTACATTCATGCCTGGAACTCTGCTACAGCGGGTTGTGTGCTAGATATACAAGGATGTATCCTGTTCCCTGTCTCTGTTTTTCCAACCTCCTAAGTGGAATCACTTGCCTAATTTAAAAGTGTGTTTTTCTGACCTTAGGCTTTTAGCCCAGCTGCCAAGAGCAAATGTTGTTCTCTTGCGATACCTTTTTGGAGTGCTATACAACATTGAGCAACATTCCTCATCCAATCAGATGACAGCTTATAATTTATCCGTTTCTATAGCCCCAAGCGTTCTTTACCCACCTGATTCCGGCACCTTGGAATTGGAAGACAACTTGATAAAAAAGGTAATGAAAGCTCTCATTTTTGTCCCCCAGGGGGTAGAATCCCTACTTTGAACCGGACATGTGCAGTAGTAACTCTGACGGATGGAACTTTGTGAAGTGCAGATTTTCATTAGGCCCCTGTGGAGTGGCAGAGTTCTTTATCCTACTCTGGCGGGGTCTGGGAAGGGGTGTCGTTAAACGGGAAACTCGGAGCAGTCGAGTCACTTCTTCCCCCTCCAGGAGACTAAACACTAGACTGACTAAACGAGAGAGAGAAGAGTCATGTGATACGATAGAAAAGAACCTGGGCTTTGGAGCTTCACCAGTCAAGGTTCAACTCTCAGCCTAATCCCTGAGGGACTCGTAACCTTGGGCAAAGCCATGGTTTCCTCACTACACAATGGCGACAACAGCCAGCTCCTCCGGTCATCACTGGCACATCCTGGGTGGCTTGGGCAATATGAGCCCCCATGCCTCCAAACACATTGGCCTTCCTCTGCCAGTTGTGGCTCATCTAGAAAAGTACTCGGCTACTATTTCACCTCTGCTCCGTCATATGGAAACTAGCAAGAGATTCCAGAATATCCTAATAAGATGACAGGTCTTCCCCAAGCTCACCCAGAGAGAGCCAGCATGAGGCAAAGCAATGCATGAGAAGGGACTGAAGTTAGACAGACAGATACGTTTTCTCTCCTGCTGTGTGGGTTTTCCCTCACGACCCCACCAAAATCCCTGCTTCCCAACTTTATGATACTTCTTCATTTAAGAAATGGTTTTCTTAAGTTGTCGTTCATACTTTATAAAGTTTCATAAGATGGTATACATCAGTTACAGCTCAGTAAAACTGAAAACAAAATTTAAAAGCAAAAAATAAGTAAACTTTAATAAGGTAGGCTACTTTGAAAATTATCCTTGTTTAATTTATTTTTTGATATGTATTTATTTGAGAGAGGGAAAGAGAGAGCGTGAGCGGGGCAGGGGCAGAAGAAGAGGGAGAGGGAGAGGGAGAAGCCCAAGCCCATTCCCCGCTGAGCACGGAGCCCAAAGTTGGCTCCATGTGGGGCTGCTTCGCACCACCATGAGATCGTGATCTGCGCCACAATCAAGAGTCAGACGCCCAACTGAGGGGCCCCGAAATTTATCCTAGGCTTAAAGACATAACCACTGATCCCAAAATGTTAGCTCTTAAACTAGGCCACGCATTATAACTTTAGCCCACGGATGGGCAGTATTTTAAAATGTGTACCCAAAGTACACAGGAAAGTATCACTCCTTCTAAGTTATTTCTGAGAGAACTCTGGTTTCTATGTGTTTCTGTTTCTTTGTGTTTTTTTTAAACTTTTATTTATTTACTTGACTGAGAGAGTCACAGCGAGAGAGGGAACACAAGCAGGGGGAGTGGGAGAGGGAGAAGCAGGCTTCCCGCTGAGCAGGGAGCCCGATGTAGGGCTGATCCCAGCACCCTGGGATTATGACCTGAGCCGAACGCAGACGCTTAACCGACTGAGCCACCCAGGCACCCCTGGTTTCTACGTATTTTTATCAACTCTGAATTTTTCTGAGAAGTCCTTCCCATTTTTTCTTAGATCCAAGGTCTGTATACAAAATGTGATTTCTAACTATGCCCTATGGATAAGAGCACCCCATTCTTGTCTTTTTGTGTTACAGATTTGTCTTGTACAATTTCTCATTGAAAATTGCCTCAGGATATTTGGAGAAGACATCACTTCCCTCTTGGGCGAGAACTCAATGAGTCGTGGTAACAGCGAGAAGGCTGCAGGTACCGGGAGTAATTTAATTGGCTTTAGTGAGAAGCAGACAGCAATGTTGCCAGGGGTCATGGGAGATGTTCTGGAGCCCAGAGCATCGCCAGGGCAAGGATTTCCATGTGCTCCTTCTTCCGAAGGCTGGCTCACTGGTCAGGGGACGTTCCACACTGTTGTGAGACCAAAGAAAGGACAAGATGAGATGTCTGACTTAAAGAAGTTTCTAGTGTAGATCATAAGGGCATTAGGACACTTCATGGTATGCTACAGTGTTTGGGAATTTTTTCTAACAAAATTCTAAATGGGTTCTATATATATATATATATACACACACATATATATATAACATCATACATATATATGTAGTTATATATACATAATATATAATTAGATACTTATTCTATATAAATATATAATCATAATATATATATTTATGTATATAAGATGTGCTCTGGTTGAAGCCAGAGCAAGGGGCCTTTCTTCCCCTCCCTCCTCTTTTGGCTCAGGGGCTCTTGAGGCACCACAGGAATCCAGTGCCCTTTGAAACGGGTTGAAAAGAACTGGCATCATTGAGAAAAAAGGACTTGACTTGATGTCAAACAACCTCTCCAGAGTGTAAATTCCTATGCCCCCATTTACCAGCTATATTATATTTGGCCAGTTATTCCAGCTCAGCATCAGTTTATTCATCTCTAAAATGTAGATAAAAATAATGTCTAAATCTTAGAATTGTGGTAAACACTCTATAAGATGATGGATGTAATCCAAGAAAAACCCATTAATAGGAGTAGCAGAACTGCTCCTGACACCAGAGGTAGTATGATTTGAGCCTAGCTAATCACAGCTACCTGGAAGCAGTCCACCTTAGAAGGTAGACTTTCGATTCAGAACCTGGAGACACGTATCATCAATCCCTCCATATTTCTGACATTTCTTGGTTTTATGATGCTTACCACATTGCTTTGAGGAAATCTATAGGAAAATACAAGTCATTAGGAATTAAGATGAGCCTGGAGCACATGGGTGGCTCAGTTGTTAAGCGTCTGCCTTCAGCTCAGGTCATGATCCGGGGGTCCTGGAATCGACCCCCGCGTTGGGCTCCCTGCTCTGAGGGAAGCCTGCTTCTCCCTCTCCCCCTCCCCCTGCTTGTGTTCCCTCTCTCGTTGTCTCTCTCCCTCTGTCAAAATATGAATAAAATCTATAAAAAAAAAAAAAAAAGGAAAAAGAAGGTTCAGCGTATTACACAACAACTACTACTACTAGTACTCTCTCTTCTTCTTAGACTCCGGCCGGAAGACTGTGAAAAGCCATTTTTTCAGAGACAGGGCCTTTTGGTGGGGCTCCCGCACTTGCCAGCTCACCCAGTGCACAGCCCCACCTTCCGCAAAGCCAGGACAGCTCTTTGGAGTTTCCCTCATGGATATCTGTGATAAAGACAACCTGCCCTTTCCAATTCTGGTAGGTCATCTCCTTTTGGTCTTCTATAGCCCTCCTGAGGAGCGGAAACTGAAAGGCCAAGCGTCCTCATCCAAATCTATCCCCAAATGGAGACGTCATTACATAGTCCCTGGCTTTGGAAGAGGAGCTCTGTTACTGTTATTTCAAAGAACAGAATCTGATTTAGGTCCAGCAGACTCATGAGGCAAATACAAAAGGAAAAGACATTCTTGTCCATTCCACTTCTGTCTTGTTTCCACAAAGACCCATGGAGGCCTGTTCAGATGAGTCAAAATGGACTCTGTGTATGTGAATCTCTGAGAGTCCACCTCATCTTCACACTCTCCCTTCATTGCCTTCCTCCTCACATGAGTCTCAAGTCTCCTTCAGCAGAGTCTACTCAGTCTAACAACTGCAAACATCTGACACGAGCATAGACTCATCCTCTGGCAAATAGGAATCTGTTAATCCTAACAGAGTATGTCAAATGAAAGCCACAGAGTTTGGCCCGTGTTATCTCAAACTGCTGTAGTGAATTGTCAGTGTGTACATTCACTGAGTATTCGGTATCTCTGCAAGCACTGTACGGTATGTAGGGAACGTTCTGCTAGCTATGAAGAAATATATCACCTTAGCTAGCATGTTACCTGCTAGCTACTACCCCAGGTCCATGCATCACAGCAAATTTAGGGGCTAGCTAGGATTATCATCCTCCGCACTGCCTAAACGAATCAGAAAAGCCTCAGTACAGGATGTATGTGCCCCAGCTCAGACAATAGATAAGTAGCATAATAGACTTCAGATCCGTTGGATTCCCTGAGTCCAGGCCTTATTAAGTTTCTACACAGCAGGGAGAGGACATGAAGATACAGCAAAAGACAATGAAAGACTCATGAGAAGGGAGGGTAATCAGAGAAGGAGAAGAGAGTTCCTGAGCCTGACTTTAAAAGAGGGAAGGAAATAGAACAAGTAGGAAAGGAGTATACAGTCACTTAAAGAGAAATAAACAAATGGGAAATGAGTATTTCCTAAATAGACTTCCATACTTGGGGAAGAGCATCTATGTAGGGAATAATGAGAAAAAAATGCTAAAGTAGGAAACAGATGGTGATTCCCCAAAGGCTTTGAAGCAGAGAAGTTTGATTTAAAAGTGGAAACTCAGTGGAAAGGAAAATCTGATTAAAAGAAGTGTTTAAAATGTTTCAGTGTATGACTGTAAAATAGATATTTCGGTAGAAAGTATATAGAGAGACACTGAAAAAAAAAAACAATCTAAATTGACTTTAGTCCTTCCAGCTCAAAAACAGTGTACCATTACATTCCCCTCCTCTTTCAAAACGGAGGCAAGCTTGTGCTCTGCGTTTGTGGATATGAGATGCCATATACTTTTCTTTTCTTCCTACAGGATATGCTTTCCTTTATTAATCAAAAAGGGCCACTCACAGAAGGCGTCTTCCGCAAATCAGCCAATATAAAATCCTGCAGAGTCCTAAAGAAAAAACTAAATTCTGGGGTCAAAGTGAACCCGTACAGCGAATCTGTTCATGTGGTCGCATCCGTCTTCAAGGTAGGGAAGGTTCTAGCATTATCCACACGTGAGTAACTGAAGCTATGATTGGTGTCCTTCATCATGACTGCTCAAGAACTGTAATGGGCATAACAGATTAAGAACCTGACAAGCTGAAAATGCTTGACAAAATCAAAATTTAAGGAAGCTACTTTAGGAGTTAAAAGCCCCATGTGTTAGAAATACTTTCTGTTTTCACTACACACCGCCCTCCCCACCTCCACTCCTGAAGACTCCATGCAAAATACTAATACTGAAATGACTACTAGTCATGATAATAAATTTCAAAATACGCACTGACACAAACACACTGTTTACCGAAACAGACATCCTCACCACCCTGCTAATGATGGCAAAGTTTCCAAAAGAAATGGAGCAGGGAAAAAATTTAATCCATCCACCTTGGCACTAATTAACAGCTCTGAACAACCCTATGTTAATGTAGTAATGAGTACAGTCTTTGAATCTCAGTCACATTTGGTCTTCCCTTGTCCCCCGTTAATGTTCGAAGATGTGATAAATAGCAAATGACTTAGGTAACCACTCCTACTCTGGGGCCATAGTGATATCCAGTAGTAATATACATGTAGGCATTGGGAGACAGGAGAAGAATGATGATACACTAGGTAGCAAGATGAGCGTTGCCCTCTGTAAGGTGCACACATGGAATCGATTTTTTAGCAAGAGTTAGGAGGTTCCTTCCTGATTCTGTGTTATCAGCACCAACTAGGAAGAGGGTGTGCACTTGTGGGTATGGTGCTTAGACATTTCTAAAGTTTTCTCTTCCTGAAGTTGACGGATCTTGGTGGAGAATCAGACTCTGCAACCTTGGCCTTGATAATATCATGGCAAACTAACTGGACAATTGTCCTAAACTAGAAATGAATCTATCCTCAGGACCACAGTGAGTCTGCCATTAGACTCTCGACTTTTAGACAGTTAAGAAAAGGAAGAATGAAGCAATTGTGAGAGTAGCTTTCTTCCAGGGAGCACACCTACCCCGAGTGAGAAGACCTAGTTCTTTCCTAATATGTGTGCAAGAGCCCACCTGTTTGTGTTTTGATTGTTTCAGGCCTTTTCTTGCTAGAATTAAGAGCTAGCACCTTGTCTAAAACAAGCAACATGGGTATGTGTATTTCTGTCCAGGAAGCTAATAGGATTTAGGATGGTCTATAGCCAGACCCTGTCAGTTTGTGGTACTTTGCAAAAAAAAAAGCACTCACACAAAATAAGTTCCAGATGATAGAAGGGAGCTTTATCTTCATTTCCACCACAGGCTAAGCTCTGCTTTTATGCCTCTAAGTTTTAGCGGGAGAAAATCCAAGCACCTGCTCCTGTGTGAGCAAGTCAATGGAAAGTCGAAGCCGAGCTCCGTGTGGGTCCCAGTTTGGGTATCTGTGAAGGAAGTGGGGGCTGAACTGAATTTTTTAACTACATATTTTCTCTGGAATATTTCCAATAAATATTTTCTATAATATATATACATATTTTTTTATCTCCATAAGGACTTTCTTAGAAATATCCAAGGAAGTATATTTTTATCCGATCTCTATGACAAATGGCTCAGTGTTATTGATCAAGGCAACAAAGAGGAGAAGATAACTGCAGCCCAGAGGTAATGATGCCATAATTACTCTACTCTGGTCACATCTCCAAAATACACCCAACATACTATCAGGAAAACATTGGCTTACGTTTTGCAGCTTTGCCTACTAAAATCATGACCAACGCCAAAGAGTTTCAATTCTTCACACCCATGGGGTCCAGCTTCAGAATAGAGGCATGCTTTAGGGCTATTATTGTTCTTCTCCTGATCTTATTAATGTGGACTCCTTGGCCATTTTACCCCTTCTGGATCCATGAAACTGGTAGACGAAATTCCCTGGTCCAAGACAGATGCTAGAGCATTGACTTCCAGGGCTATGACCTTAAAAGTCTGTGAAACATTTAACTAAGCAGAGAAGTTGTTATCTGGCTCAGGAACTGAATTCAGTGCAACAATTTTGTATACCTTCATGCCTGGAACTCTGCTAGAGCGGGTTGTGTGCTAGATATACAAGGATGTATCCTGTTCCCTGTCTCTGTTTTTCCAACCTCTTAAGTGGGATCACTTGCCTAATTTAAAAGTGTGTTTTTCTGACCTTAGGCTTTTAGCCCAGCTGCCAAGAGCAAATGTTGTTCTCTTGCGATACCTTTTTGGAGTGCTATACAACATTGAGCTACATTCCTCATCCAATCAGATGACAGCTTATAATTTATCCGTTTGTATAGCCCCAAGTGTTCTTTACCCACCTGATTCCGGCAGCTTGGAATTGGAAGACAACTTGATAAGAAAGGTAATGAGAGCTCTCATTTTTGTCCCCCAGGGGGTAGAATCCCTACTTTGAACCAGACAAGTGCAGTAGTAACTCTGACGGATGGAACTTTGTGAAGTGCACATTTTCATTAGGCCCCTGTGGAGTGGCAGAGTTCTTTATGCTACTCTGGCGGGGTCTGGGAAGGGCTGTCGTTAAACGGGAAACTCGGAGCAGTCGAGTCACTTCTTCCCCCTCCAGGAGACTAAACACTAGACTGACTAAACGAGAGAGAGAAGAGTCGTGTGATACGATAGGAAAGAACCTGGGCTTTGGAACTTCACCAGTCAAGGTTCAACTCTCAGCCTAATCCCTGAGGGACTCGTAACCTTGGGCAAAGCCATGGTTTCCTCACTACACAATGGCGACAACAGCCAGCTCCTCCGGTCATCACTGGCACATCCTGGGTGGCTTGGGCAATATGAGCCCCCATGCCTCCAAACACATTGGCCTTCCTCTGCCAATTGTGGCTCATCTAGAAAAGTACTCAGCTACTATTTCACCTCTGCTACGTCATATGGAAACTAGCAAGAGATTCCAGAATATCCTAATAAGATGACAGGTCTTCCCCAAGCTCACCCAGAGAGAGCCAGCATGAGGCAAAGCAATGCGTGAGAAGGGACTGAAGTTAGACAGACAGATACGTTTTCTCTCCAGCTGTGTGGGTTTTCCCTCACAACCCCACCAAAATCCCTGCTTCCCAACTTTATGATACTTCTTCATTTAAGAAATGGTTTTCTTAAGTTGTCGTTCATACTTTATAAAGTTTCATAAGATGGTATACATCAGTTACAGCTCAGTAAAACTGGAAACAAAATTTAAAAGCAAAAAATAAATAAACTTTAATAAGGTAGGCTACTTTGAAAATTATCCTAGTTTTATTTATTTTTTTGATATGTATTTATTTGAGAGAGGGAAAGAGAGACTGTGAGAGGGGCAGGGGCAGAAGAAGAGGGAGAGGGAGAGGGAGAAGCCCAAGCCGATTCCCTGCTGAGCACGGAGCCCAAAGTTGGCTCCATGTGGAGCTGGATCTCACCACCATGAGATTGTGATCTGAGCCGAAATCAAGAGTCAGACGCTCACCTGAGGGGCCCCCAAATTTATCCTAGGCTTAAAGATGTAACCACTGATCCCAAAATGTTAGCTTTTAACCTAGGCCATGCATTATAACTTTAGCCCACGGATGAGCAGTATTTTAAAATGTATACCCAAAGTACACGGGAAAGTATCACTCTTTCTAAGTTATTTCTGAGAGAACTCTGGTTTCTATGTGTTTTTGTTTTTTTGGTTTTTTCTTAAGCTTTTATTTATTTACTTGACTGAGAGAGACACAGCGAGAGAGGGAACACAAGCAGGGGGAGTGGGAGAGGGAGAAGCAGGGTTCCCGCTGAGCAGGGAGCGTGATGTAGGGCTGATCCCAGCACCCTGCTTTCATGACCTGAGCCGAAGGCAGACGCTTTACCGACTGAGCCACCCAGGTGCCCCTGGTTTCTACGTATTTTTATCAAGTCTGAATTTTACTGGGAAGTCCTTCCCATTTTTTCTTAGATCCAAGGTCTGTATAGAAAATGTGATTTATAACTATGCCCTATGGAAAAGAGCACCCCATTCTTGTCTTTTTGTGTTACAGATTTCTCTTGTACAATTTCTCATTGAAAATTGCCTCAGGATATTTGGAGAAGACATCACTTCCCTCTTGGGCGAGAACTCAATGAGTCGTGGTAACAGCGAGAAGGCTGCAGGTACCGGGAGTAATTTAATTGGCTTTAGTGAGAAGCAGACAGCAAGGTTGCCAGGGGTCATGGGAGATGCTTAGACAGAGCTGTTCTGGAGCCCAGAGCATCGCCAGGGCAAGGATTTCCATGGGCTCCTTCTTCCGAAGGCTGGCTCACAGGTCAAGGGAGGTTCCACACTGTTGTGAGACCAAAGAAAGGATAAGATGAGGTCTCTAACTTCAAGAAGTTTCTAGTGTAGATCATAAGGGCATTAGGACTCATCATGGTATGCTACAGTGTTTGGGAATTTCTCTAACCAAATTTGAATGGGTGCCATATATATATGTCATATCATACATATATGTTTAGTTATATATATAATATATAATTAGAAATTTAGAATATCTAATTTTTAAACACAATGTATATACTTATGTATATTAGATGTGCTCTGGTTGAAGCCAGAGCAAGTGGCCTTTCTTCCCCTCCCTCCTCTTTTGGCTCAGGGGCTCTTGAGGCACCACAGGATTCCAGTGTCCTTTGAACTGGGTTGAAAAGAACTGGCATCAGTTCTTTCTCTCTAAAATTGTGGATAAAAATATTGTCTAAATCTTAGAATTGTTGTAAAGATTAAATAAGGTGATGGATGTAAAATAAATTTCAAAAAAAAGCCATTAATAGGACTAGGAGAAGTGCCCCTGAGACTAGAGCTAGTATATTTGAGCCTAGCTAATCACAGCTAACTCGTAGCAGTCCACCTTATAATAGACTTTCGATTCAGAACTTGGAGACACATCTCATCAATCCCTCTATATTTTTGACATTTCTTGGTTTTATGACGGTTTTGTCATTGCTTTGAGGAAATCTTTAGGAAAATACATGTCATCAGGAATTAAGATAAATCTAGTGTAATGTCTGAGAATATGCTTATATAAGACAACTGTTTATTTTTCATTTCAGTAGTGTCAGGAAATCAACCTCTTGAATCCAAGCCAGTGAGAGTGAGAGTGATTTACAAAAAGGCACAACTGCAGAATGATACGAAGACCCCATCTGGCATGGTTCCACCCAGCTACCTGTCTACAGTTTTCTAAGTCACTGAAGAGTACCATCTACATAATGACACTTGACTCTTCCGTTTTCTTTAGTTCCTATAAAATAGAAAATAAAATGAACTGTTTTTCCAATGAATGAAAAATGAGCCCCTTCCAAGGAACTTGCTCATCCCATTAGAATTTTTCTTTTGCCTCATCTCATATTATCCATATTGAGGAAATCTTCCCACAAAGTATCTCCTCTGTCTTCAATACCTACCATCTCATATTATGTACTTTGTTGCATTGTAGTGTATTGCATATTTTTATACTGATGCAATAAAAGTAATTCCATCACTCAGTGGGTTAGACAACCATTTTACTTGTTTATGATTCATATCAACACTTCAGTGGAGGCTCATCTGAGCAGTTCTGGTCTCAGCTGAGGTCACTTGAGCACCTGCAGTCAGCTGGCAGCTCATCTGGAGCTAACCTAGGAGTCTGTTTATTGGTGTTGGCTCTCAGCTGGTCCCCATGTCTTCAACGAGCTAGCCTGTCCTGCATATGGTGGAGGAAGAGTTGCCAGAAGCAAGAAAGGCTTTTCAAGAGTTAATGTGGGAGAGGACTGTGCAAAGCACCATGCCAAAGACAGTGATTTACAAGACAAGGAGGCATTCATTATTTATTAAGACCACACATGATAATCAAAGCTCAAGGCAGCACCACTACTACACACATCCTTTTATTCATCGGCTTTTAATCCTCAGTGGATTATAATCAGCATTTCCTAAAAGGCATTCAAAGTGTGGTAGGAAGTATCTTTGAAATAGTAACTGATTTTTTACCTCAGGTATTCTTTGCCTCTATCCTTGTCCCGGTCTTAAGCTGTCTTACGGACAACTAAATCACTTCCTCAGGGAATAGAAGCTATAGGAGAATATGAGGAAAAGGGAGCCCTTTGTTGCTTATGAGTTTTAAAAATTTAGCTTTCTAGGAAACAAAACTTACTCATGGCATAGAGTAGAAGATTTAGGTGGAAATCTCATGGGAAAAGCCCAAAATCATTAGGTACATGGGACATCTGCCCCTTTTCCTGGATAGAAGCCAAAAGAAAGCAGGAAGGCCTCACAGAATAGCTAATTGACTTGTCTAAGAAAGACGGGGCCCCTGTGGGTCCACATAGAGTTTCTTATACCTCAGCATGGAACAGATCAGTAAGAAAAGTATTCCCATCAATTCCAGAATAGTATGGAAGAACTACAGAGAGCCACCAGGTTTGAAAGACATGTCTCAACAACAGTAGTACTGACCAATTCCCCAGGACCAGAGAACAGTGAGGACATCTCAGCAGATGCTAGTATACATCAATGACCCAAAGCAGCAGATAAGTGCCACCTCGCCATTTCATAGCCTTCTAACTCCCTGGCACTAGAAGACTCCAGAACATAGACACACTCCTGGGGGAAATTAAGAGATCCTGAATTTCTACCAATCTGGGAACAGAGAATCAAACTAGACACCAAGCGAGCTATTTAAAAACACAGAATTGGACATTTATTACATATGTCAATGTATACATTGAGGTTGGTATCAATATATATAGAATATATGATCCAAGCACAGTTTTCCTAGAAAGGGTTCCCTGGTCAAATAGGTTAGGGAAATTCTGTATTTTCCTTTTGAAGTCAAATGCTCCAGTTTTTTCCACACTTATTTGACATTGCTTGGCCCTTTTGGAGTAACCCCATTAATTAATGATCCTGGGAACATACATTAATAAACATCGCTCTGAATTTATTTCTTCTTAACTCACAGATTTTACCATTTCACTCACCTGCTAAGAAGCCATCAATAGATCTTTGAATTTTTTTTTTTTTCAGAAAAAAATGTCCTTTTTTAGATCCTCCACAATGCAACCTGCTCTAGTAATCAATTTTGTCTTCACTCTTTCCCATTGTAGATCCTTTGCTTTAGCTAGGTCAGAAACGGTACTGGCCCCTGAATAAGTCACACTCACTTTTCTAACTATAATCCTCACCTCTCCTTGGTCTCTACGTTTCCACCCACTAACTAGGTAGCCATCTGGGTTCTCCACTCCCAGAATTTCACAAAGCCTTCCTGATCTCAAATTAATTGTTCTTTACATGAGCGCTTGCCCCTACTAGACATTGGCTCGTATGCTGCTTTGCACCGTCGGGAATTATGCCAGTGTGTTCATACATTATTC